AACGAATGAATACACCAGGTGCATATTTTGGAGCCTTGGTGTGTCGACATTAATTTTTTTATTTTTTTCTAAGCCTGCATAATTTTGTTTGGTCTTTTTTTGCCAATATTAAAAAAAATCTCAGCTTTCCAAATGTTAAAAATGAGATAATCAAGCTAGACCTTCTTCTTTAAGACTATGAAGATCTGCAGTATGAGCATTATTTAGGCATTCGTTTTTTCTGTAAAATATCTTAGGTCAGTGTAGCATCTAATAATGTCACATTTCGGGATTAGGAGACAAAATGGTTTAAGAATTAAGGAGTAAACTAGCAGCAGAGTAGAATTCATGTAAATCCAATGCGAGTATAGTTTGGCTGATGTAGTCTTCACCCATCTTCCTTGAGACTGTGTGAGGGCAGTTCACTGCCCCGTATATCTGTTAACATGCAGAGGGCATTTTGGTGCAAATTGGTCACAAGAGAACCAGGTTGTGCAAGCTGTTTATGCCCTTGTGTGTAGTATAAGGTGAAAAAGGAAACATCCATCTACACACCATTGACACATTCAAGCTGTGATTAATACATACTCAAGAACATGTCATCCAGTGTTGTGGCCTTGAGTTTCTATTAGAGCTGTGTATCACAAAGAATCTGGTGATACGATACGTATCGCGATACAGGGATTATGACACGATATATATTGAGATATTTTGCAATTCTGTAAGAAAGACAATTATTATTATTTTTTTTTAGGAAGTAGATCTAATTAAAAAAACTCATAAAGTACACACCACCATATGCATAAGACCTGAGCAAAAAAAAAACCCTATTATTTAATCCAAACAATGGAATCTGCATTTGCAGGATTATTTAGGTATATATATAGTTTTTATGGTTTTTTTTAAGTTTTACATTACAGATAGTGCATAGTTCACTTTATATTTAATACTGTAAAGTTGCTTTCTTTAAAGCAATCTATTGTATAAAGCACTATATAAATAAACGTGACGTGACTTGAGTGCTGAATTGCAGAGCTTGTGCAAACATATCCACATCGCAATGATCAGATGCTTTCTTAATTGTTTTCTAAACGCTCAGCGGCGCGGAGGGCATGTTAAGTGAGCTCTTAGATTCAATGTTTTTTTCGAGTATTGACAGAACCTCAAATGCGCTGGCATATCAATTGCCTCGAGTTGCTGGAAGTGTTGCTGTCCCTGCTGAGGTTTCTGCTGTTGATTGGATGGTCAACACGACGACGGTTACGTACATAAACCGCCATGCGGTTTACGTTCACCTGCCCTGATTTGCAGTGAAAAGGAAAAAAAAAAAAAAGATTATGCAGGAGGAAATTGTGGAGACGAGGGGAGCAAGCATTGTGTGTTTTGCAAAGAGAGTTGGGGGTAAATAAATAATTTTGTAAAGTGTGCTGTTGTTGCTGGTCAAGCAAATGTTTGTGCTTTGTTTCTGTTTGATATAATTGTAAATATATCTATTAAAATACAGATATTCTGGTCTATATCTCCTCCCCGAACATCCCGCTGCCCTGTTTCTTGCTCTCTCATTGGCTGTAGGTCATCGCCGGTGTAGTTTTCAGTCAGAACACATTCACACAGCAGGATTTTGAATCGCCGACAGGTCCAGATATTTAGCAGATACTCGTCAGCGATTCACTCAGATCGCGTCTTCTGCAAATTCACACTGCGTGATTGTCACTGAACATGAACAAGTACCGATTTGCCTGTGATTTCGGGCATTTGTCGGCTAACTCGCAAAACCTGTCAGCAAGCGAAAATTGGGCCTGAAATCTTTCAGTGTGAACTCGAAGATTAGATGTGCTAGCAGGTTGGACCCTCACCCTACGTGCCCAAAGTTCCCACTTCCCCTTTTAGGGATCAAGTGGTGAATTTGCAAGCCCTGCCATGAGACGAGGCCTTAGCGTTGCTGTGTCCAGTATGTGATCCTTTTTTTGAGAACATTTTAAATGTAGCCTACTGTATATATCCAAATCGATATTGAATAAAATTGAATCGAGATCAGAATTTAAAGGGATACTCCACTTTTTTGGGAAATAGGCTCATTTTACAACTCCCCCAGAGTTAAACTGTTGAGTTTTACCGTTTTTGAATCCATTCAGCCGATCTCCGGTTCTGGCGGTACCACTTTTAGCATAGCTTAGCATACATCATTGAAGTGGACAAGACCATTAGCATTTCTAAAAAAAAAATGACCAAAGAGTTTCGATATTTTTCCTATTTAAAACTTGACTCTTCTGTAGTTACATCGTGCACTAAGACCGACGGAAAATCAAGAAACTTTACTGCCGTACCATGAGTGCAGCAGGCGTAATGATATGACGCAGCGCCTGAAATAGTTCCGTTGTGTTGACGGAAGGTAGACTATTTTCAGGCGCTGCGTCATATCATTACGCCTGCTGCACTCATGGTACGGCAGTAAAGTTTCTTAATTATTACGCAGGAATGAGAGTATAGTTCCTAGCCATATCAGCCTAGAAAATCGCAACTTTACATTTTCCGTCGGTCTTAGTGCACGATGTAACTACAGAAGAGTCAAGTTTTAAATAGGAAAAATATCGAAACTCTTTGGTCATTTTTCTTTAGAAATGCTAATGGTCTTGTCCACTTCAATGATGTATGCTAAGCTATGCTAAAAGTGGTACCGCCAGAACCGGAGATCGGCTGAATGGATTCAAAAACGGTAAAACTGAACAGTTTAACTCTGGGGGAGTTGTAAAATGAGCCAATTTCCAAAAAAAGTGGAGTATCCCTTTAAAGCTGCAGTCCGTAGCTTTTTTTGGGTTAAAAATGATCCAAAATACATTTTTGAAAAAATACATTACCAGCCAGTGTTCAAAACTATCTGCTTGCCTTAGCTCGATTCAAAGCGCTAAGCTTGTAATAATGTTTTTAATTCCAGTGGTACTGGTGGATTTCCGCGGGAGATTCGAGCATGTCTTTGCGTCATTACGTCACATCTGTACACACACATCTGCACACACACATCTGTACACACACATCTGTACACATAAAGAAGGAGTCTCGGCTAGTCGGCTATGTTGTGTGTGAGGATGTTGGAGGTGGAGATTTATAGCCTTTTCTCACAGCACTTGATATAATTAAACTTATCAATTTGATGGCGGATCCAGAAAGGTTCAAACGACAATCACCAGTGACAACTAGAGATTCACCCGCTGTAAAATGCAAAAGACTTCGTTTGGACTTCGGAGTGAAAAAAAGAGACTGCAACCGGACCCATGCGAAAACAAGGATACATATCGGAAGGGCATTACATGTAGTCACGCATTGCTGATGTTGTTAACATTAACAATTTGAGAACAAAGTATAATTTGCACGGTTTTAATTTTTACGTGATATGATTAGCGATTGTTAGATTTAATCAGCGCGTTTTACTGCAATGTCAGAACCAGAACAAAAGTGGATGTTTCTTCCTAGTTCAGATGACATTTTCCGGTGAAAATTCTTATGTTGGTCATACTTCCAAAAAGAATAATCTGTGATTCTGAATGCCAGTATCCACACCGGCGCGGTGACTGACAGACACACACTCTCCTCAAACACTGTGTTCATCCGCGCTGTGCCGTGTCGAAGCACAACTCACGTAAAGTTGATAATTCCGCGAATAACTTCAATTGCAGATTTCGAACAGAGATGGCGACAAAGAGGAAAAACTGCGGACTGCAGCTTTAATTGAATCACAAGCTTGTGAACCGAAATCAAATCGTGAAATTTGTTACAATACCCAGGCCTAATTCTTTTCAGAAATTCAAATTCAACTTTTAGCCTATCTTTAGAACAATTCTTTAGAAATGTTTTTGAAAATACAAAATTAGAAGAAGCAAGTTTTTCATGAATCCGTTCACTGAACCTCTGTTTTATTGAGACGAAGTATTTGAAAAATAAGCCACTTTTTATTTGGGATAATGTACCGTTGAACAGTGTACAAAAAGAGCAGGTACATTAAAGAAGAACTCTGGCGCAAAATGAACCTTTGGTCTAATAAAACATTGGTACCTAGTCAACCGTTCTCTGAGATTTGTTTTCATGATAATCGAATGTAAAGAGTTTTATCTCTAAAAACTGTTTAGCGTATAACGCTAGTAATGGGGGCATATAATAAGTAAAAAGAAATCGCTAGTTTATACCACTAACAAGGCTCAAAATAGCCCCACACGAACACAGTAACATAATGAAGGTCCCTACATGCATAACGAAGCATTGAGAACTTTGTAAGTGTACAGACCGTTTAATAAGAAGATAAAGATAAAGACAGTCCACTTCGTGAATACAGACAGGAGCCATCTTTGGAAAACAATCTTGACTAGTCAAACCACGAACGCCATTCATACAGTTCAGCTCACTTAGCACGTCGTTCGTGGTTTGACTAGTCGAGACTGTTTTCCAAAGATGGCTCCTGTCTGTATACACGAAGTGGACTGTCTTTATCTTTATCTTCTTATTAAACGGTCTGTACACTTACAAAGTTCTCAATGCTTCGTTTTGCATGTAGGGACCCTCATTATGTTACTGTGTTAGTGTGGGGCTATTTTGAGCCTTGTTAGTGGTATAAACTAGCGATTTATTTTTACTTATTATATGCCCCCATTACTAGCATTATACGCTAAACAGTTTTTAGAGATAAAGCTCTTTACATTCGATTATCATGAAAACAAATCTCAGAGAACGGTTGACTAGGTACCAATGTTTTATTAGACCAAAGGTTCATTTTGCGCCGGAGTTCTCCTTTAACCAAGTAGTAGGGTCGATTTTAACCTTATGCTATAAAAGTCCTCCACATGCAAAATGTGTTACTATATTGTTATTGGGCCCTTGCCATCTTAGACCTCCTATAGCCTTGTTAGCATTATTACTCCACTTTTTGGTCTTATTTTTCCCTGAAAAGGACAAAGATGTGAAATGGAGAGAGTTTGATGAAAAGCCTCTCTGTAATCTGATTCATTCAGTGTTTTGTGTGTTTTCTGCAGAGTGAGTACTCAAGTGACTCAGAGAGTGAAGACAATTTCCTCCTGATGCCTCCGAGGGACCACCTGGGCCTCAGTGTTTTCTCCATGCTCTGCTGTTTCTGGCCCCTGGGAATTGCAGCTTTCTACCTGTCTCATGAGGTGAGAAGTTCTCAACAAACAACTAATATGCCAACATAAATGCCAAGAATTTGTTACATTTCTTAATAATAATAAAAAGCCCGTCTATTCACTCTTAAAATAAAGGTTTCAAAAGAGTCCAAAAGCAACAAAAGGATTTGGATTAAGGCCCGTTCACACCAAGTATAACTATAAAGATCTAGTTATAGATCTAAAAATCGTTCTAAATTTAAAAGAATAGTCCACACCACAACTATAACGGCACAGAGAAACGATTTTGTTGAAAGCCCTTTTTTTGAACATTTGTTTTGCTGATGAATGATAAAAACATTGACAGCCAATCAGAATCCAGATAACAAAACTGCAGTGTTTGCTTAGAATAAACAGGTGTGGATGCTAATAGAGTCATTTTGTTATAGTTATCTTTATAGTTATCCTTCTTTGTGTGAACAGGTCTTTTCAGTCGTTTTACAATGGTATTAAATTATGATTTTATTGTCCAACTTTTTTGGAGAAGTTGTAAGCCAGGTAATATCGCTTTTTGGGCACTTTTTTTCCTATGAGAATGCAGTTCACACTCAAAACAGTTGCATCTGTTGTACTTCATTTTTGTATTGCAATGAATTTATATAAAAATGATACAGTAATAATAATTGTATAATCCTTCAGATTAGAGTTTTATTGATACGCTCACCATACCTGTCCCATGTTATGCTGGATGCTCATGTGCTTTGGAAACAAAGACTGAGGGCACTCTAAACAACAGTACATTTCCAAAACTCACAGCGCACACTGCAGGGTAAAGCCAGTCGTTATATGTTACACTTTGAACATTTGAAAACAAATATCCATTTATGTAGTCTGATGTATGCTGCAGGGCAGAAGATGGAGAATTCCCCGGGTTTGCCACATTGTTTCATAAAGGTGAATATAGTATGCTGCAGTGTCAGATGTATTTATAGCTTACCGCAATGCTCTTGAGAGGAGAGAGATTGCTTACAGAAAGTGTGCTGAGAGAGGGAGAGGTCATTCGCCCCTGGAGGGAAACGTACCGAGAAGTGGTAATTGCAGTATTTTCACGCATTCCCCCTTCTTATTAAACGCTTATTTCAAAGCAGTCAAAACAGGAAAATTATGGATATGTGTAGTTTTCATCTCCCTTTGTTTGTGGGTGAAAAACATTTCACCCCAAAATGAAAAGGAAAAAAGAAAGAGAAAATTAAGCCTATTTTTTTCCTGCATTTTGACATTATTTTTAAGAATATTCTTAAACATGACAGTATTAAAAAACGGTATAACTAATACTATAAATTATGTATAAATATTTTACAATTACAATCATTATGTTTTTGCATTTTCTTCCCACAACAATAATGTCACGATGTTAAAATATCTTAAAGTGCCCTGTTTATTTCCCCCCTACAATAGGCTTACATGCATCCAAGGTCACTTAAATTTTCTCATAATATACATTGCAGCATCACTTAATTTATCATAATGTCTGGAACAGTTCGATCAAGTATTTAGTCTCTAAACCCTTCCTGTCCACAAGCCTCTGCTCTTGATTGTCTGTTGTGATTGGCCTACCGCTTCCAGTGCGTGTCGGAAATGAAATGCTCATTACCATAAATTAATTTCAGCTCCGGATCTTCCTCAGCACTTGATACACAGTCAAACGAACAGTAACAATAGCATCGGTTTTACCGTATCAATTCCAGCCTCATCTTTTTTAAATGCATGCATTGTGGATTTGTTTTCGCAGCAGAAAATGGTGTCCTCTCGACATGTCGACAACACGAACAAAACTCTTCCAGGCCTCAGTTATAATTGCAGTGTTTAAGGGGCAAAGCTGTTGTTCACATAATTTTCTCAGGCAGCCAATGAAGACCATATCCTGGCGATATGCAAGTTTGTTACAAACCTATGTAGGTGTAACACTGGGTGCTCCAAAGATAAAAATAAAAAAAGTGCAGTATTAGTGGTTTATTAATAAAATAACACAAGTAATCCAAGCAAAGGCCAAACAGAGTAAATCAAGACACTGGGAAAGGCAGGCAAAAACAGAACAGAAAGAACAAAACCAGACCAAGAACATGGGAAAACACCAGAGTTTAAATACACAAGATACCTGTCCTAACACAGGACAGGTGAAGTTGATTAATTGTCATGGAAACTAACCAGGGTTGCTACTAAACACAGGAAGTGATGATGGTGCGTTCTATATTGTCAACGAACCGACTCGGCCCTCGGATATGACACCATTTCCACACTTCAAGCGTTCTGGTATGTTTTGTGCGTCCGAGTCGGAGAAAAAACATGGACGCCACCCGGAAAGCTGTTGCTATGGTAGTACTGGCCGAGTACCAGGCGCTTATCAAAACTCAGCCATTTGAACTTCTAAAATTGTCACTTTATTTCATGTTTTAGTTTATTTTCTGTCAGCAACGCTAGCCACGTTAGTAACACCCGTTTGAAACAAGGCTTCGTTCAATATTGCACTCACAACAAGACCGATTCCCATACCCACAGGCAGTGATACGGACGCAGTAAGGTGTTGCAGTAATTAAAATCTTCATTCAAACAACCAAAGCGGTCCAAAAACAATGAAAACAATTCATACTAAGTCACACAGGGCGCAGCCATCTTGGATTCCGTATCAGAATTCTTGGTGTCCTCACGGTTGTCCGAAATCCGAGCGGGAAAATCCCTGGGAAAGGGGGCGTGTTGGTGCGTGTTGCTTGGCACTCCGACGCGGATAAATAATAGAGCGCACCATGAGAACAGAAACATTTCCACCACACTGGAACAATAGGAACAAAAAAACTTCAACTTAAAACTCCTTAAACACAAGACAGGAATCATGACAGGAAGTAAGATTGGAATTAGTGACGACTCAAAATTCAGAATTATTTCTTTTGGGAGACAAAAACTCCATTTTGATCTTTGAAACTGCAGACCTTTTACATTCACAAACATGTATATTACACACTACAAGAAAGGTAATATCTGAAAAGCATAATAAAGGCACTTTAATGTTCCTCAAACAGACCTCATTTTCTTAAAGAAAAACATCATTTCTATTGATTTTGGACTGAAATATGTCCTGAACATGGGCTTGATGGGTTTTGTGAGGGTCATTATGTGTTTAAACTTTCAGTGTTCACATCTGATGCTGACTTTAAAAGCAGTTTATGGCCCCATCTCTCTCTGTCTTTTGCTCTGTTTTTCTCTTTCATGCGATACAGCACGACTCAACACCCACAGCTCTCTAATTCTTTGCCTGAAAAAATAGAAATCCTTTCTCAGCCTAGTTCTTAAAATCTAAGCCTACACCATAATCAATTCACTGCAATCCTTCTACAATCCATGTCAACAGATTCATATTATTTAGGAATGTTTTGTCATGTAAAAATATCACAACAAAATGTTGTCAAAATGTGATTGTGCACTAAGTAGAAATATCTGAATAAATATATAAATATCTGTGTTAAAAGATGCTCTACAGAGTAGGTTGTTAGTAGTGAGTACATGTTAGACACTTTAAATTACTGTATGCTTTGAATGCATTAAAATAATATGAATTGGTTCAATAGCAAAGTATTCTGTATCAACCACACAGTAACATTATTTCTGTCTTACAATAATTCAAATTTCAAAAAATTAAATATTTTAAAAACATTTTGTTAGAACTACTATTAAATTACATCTTATTTTGTTTAGTTGTCTATTCAGGATCGTGGGGGAATCATCAGTGTGCGACTCTAATTTATAGACACAAACTCTTGGCTATAAAAATATATTAAACATTTTCAATGTTATTCCCACCAAAATGGATCAGTTAAAACAAAAAAGTTGAACACACCTTTTGTAACCACATAGCGCATTTTGTCACACTTTATGTGCTAACTTGCAAAGAAAATGTGCGAAAATATCAAAGCAGTTAACGCCAATGAATAATGTAATTAATAAATTGTATAAAATGCCAACGTATACAATGTGACAACTTAGCCTGACCTAACAATTGTATAAAAACGTTCCACTAAAACCTACCTTCATTATACACTCACCGGCCACTTTATTAGGTACCCCATGCTAGTAACGGGTTGGACCCCCTTTTGCCTTCAGAACTGCCTCAATTCTTCGTGGCATAGATTCAACAAGGTGCTGGAAGCATTCCTCAGGGAGTTTGGTCCATATTGACATGATGGCATCACACAGTTGCCGCAGATTTGTCGGCTGCACATCCATGATGCGAATCTCCCGTTCCACCACATCCCAAAGATGCTCTATTGGGTTGAGATCTGGTGACTGTGGAGGCCATTTTAGTACAGTGAACTCATTGTCATGTTCAAGAAACCAATTTGAAATGATTAGAGCTTTGTGACATGGTGGAAGTAGCCATCAGAGGATGGGTACATGGTGGCCATAAAGGGATGGACATGGTCAGAAACAATGCTCAGGTAGGCCGTGGCATTTAAACGATGCCCAATTGGCACTAAGGGGCCTAAAGTGTGCCAGGAAAACATCCCCCACACCATTACACCACCACCACCAGCCTGCACAGTGGTAACAAGGCATGATGGTTCCATGTTCTCATTCTGTTTACGCCAAATTCTGACTCTACCATCTGAATGTCTCAACAGAAATCGAGACTCATCAGACCAGGCAACATTTTTCCAGTCTTCAACTGTTCAATTTTGGTGAGCTCTTGCAAATTGTAGCCTCTTTTTCCTATTTGTAGTGGAGATGAGTGGTACCCGGTGGAGTCTTCTGCTGTTGTAGCCCATCCGCCTCAAGGTTGTGCGTGTTGTGGCTTCACAAATGCTTTGCTGCATACCTCGGTTGTAACGAGTGGTTATTTCAGTCACTGTTGCCCTTCTATCAGCTCGAACCAGTCTGGCCATTCTCCTCTGACCTCTGGCATCAACAAGGCATTTCCGCCCACAGAACTGCCGCTCACTGGATGTTTTTTCTTTTTCGGACCATTCTCTGTAAACCCTAGAGATGGTTGTGCGTGAAAA